GGAATTCACCTTCCTGTCAAGGGGTGGTTGGCTCTCTTCTTCTGGGCTGGTTTAAAACAAAAGACCTGTTCCTCCCTGCCCTTTCCAAAGCTCTAGATTCACTAGTCTTCTCTCTCCTATTCACAACGTGAAGGGCTGAAGCTGTGGTTTTGTAACAACTACCTGCAGTTATTTGAGGACTGGCCCGGGTGAGCTGCCAGCGCTGCATCCTCCTGCTGTTCTTCAGTGTCTTTCCAGCTGCTCTTTGAATCCAATTTCTTGAAGCACTGAGTCAAAGAAGCTGTAACCTCCACAGACAGCTCTGCTTGTGCCTGATAAAGCTGTTTAGTTTTGCAGCCCAGTAACAGAGGTTTTGGCATGCTTTGTGTCCCCCTGGCATGGTGGCATGCTGTGACTGCACCAGCGGTGTCGTTAACCAAAATGGGCTTTAATCTATTGGCCAGAGCAATCTGAGTATCCCTTCCTATTGCCTGTCTGTACCAGGTCCAAAACAGAAAATCACCTGGAGCTTTTACTACCTGATTACTTAACACCAAGGGCCTGGGCCTAGGAGCGTGGCAAGGGCTTGAACTGCCCAGTTGCTTGTTACCATAACTCAGAGTTCGCATCAGTGAACGTAAAGGGATGTATTGCGTAGTGTTACCCCCAGTCCTAAGTACCAACGTGGACCTTCTTGTAGCTTCTGGGTAAATGCCTATGTCTTAGGGTTTTATTCCCAGTGACCCAGCGGCCAAACATGATGGATGTAGCCCTGAGAGAAGTTTTCCAGCTGGAGCTGCTCTTGTATCCTGAATTCTGCCAAGCCACAAGAATAGTGTTGATAACACATGCCCCAAGGATGCAGGTTGCCTTTGAGGTGGATGTTGCCTTGAGTGGTTTATGCTTGCTCACCTGCATCTCCAAGGAACTTACTGCTCAAAGGGAAAGTTTGAAATAGGAAGGTGAGATGCAATGGCTTTTGCTGGTTTAAGGAAATTATTATCTTTATTTTTTAGAAAAGGCACATTTTTTTTAAAACTACTACAATAATGTTTGATCTTTCATTTCTAAGATGTTATTTGAGGGCTTTGTTTCTCTCTAAGCTAGAGCTTTGCCAGCACAATAGAGTAGGTGTGTAGCAAGTCTGGTTTTGCTCTGTTTCCTCAACCTTTATGTATTTTGGCAGAATCACAGAATTGTTAAGGCTAGAAAAGACCTCTGAGATCATCAAGTCCAGCCTATGACTCAACAACATTGCAACAGAATGCTGTCTTGGTGTCTCTTGTGACTCTACAAATTTAGGAACATTCTTCATCCAAGTAGCTTGGCAAGATAATGTGTAGAAACACAACTGCTGCACACTGTAGCTCTTACTGGTGTATCCCTGTGTAACCTGTCAGTACAAAGCTTGGAAGGCAAGGGCTGAGCACTTTAGAGGGTGTAGATAAAGGGGAAATCAGGATCTCTTATTAAATATTAGCATAATGTTGTATGCACCTACATTTGCTTTCAACTGTGTTATTGGAACAGCCTGAACCCTAAAAGGCTGCTTTTAGTGATAGCTGTGGGAGAGCAGGAGGGGATGCTACACAGCTTAAATGTCTCCTGGCCTTCTTCTATTCTTTCATATAAAATGTTTCACATTTTGAGAAGGTTGGTTAGTTCTAGCTTGTTAGCCTCCGAACTGCCCAAGATGGGAGGATGTGCTAGAGGTTTTGGTCTTTCCTAATGGTCTTTTCATTTGCTGTCAGTAGCAGCTGTGTTTGAAGACAACAGCTGGGGCAGGAATAACTCTTTCTGATCTTGGGCAGCCCACTTCATCCCACTTCCTGCACTGTTGCATTAGTTGAACATGGAATTATTTGGGCTGGAAAAGACCTTTAAGATTATGAAGTTCAACTTCTAATCTAGTGATGCCAGGTCCACCACCAGTGTGTTTGAGCTGAAACCCCTGAAGATCTTAAGCTCATTTGGCTTCTGCAGATGAGATCTTGGCAACAACCAACCCTGTATCTGTGTTAACTTAATGTTTTCTTTTGAAAGGTAGGTAGATGACCTTTGCAAGTTTGCTTTGGCAGCTCACTTACGCTCTTTTAACTGTTATTTATCCAGCTATATCTTATTTTTTTTCTTTTCAGTGTAAATAGAGAAAGCTCAATTTTCAACCTGCTCTTCTGAGCCAGAACACCAGAGATGATGTGGGTGCTGAGGTGCAAAACCCAGGCATCGGTACGTAGAAGAAGAAGCTGCAAATACAAATTTCAGGTTAAGAATAACTGCTTCGTGTGTTTTAAGCTCTTAACCAGCTTAGTATTAAACGCTGTTATCTTTATGCTTTTATCTCTTTTAGGGGATGATGCTGTGCCGGGGGAACTGTATGCTTGTGTTTGCCTTGGCCTGAGGTCAGCTCACCCTGCTCTCTGTCAGGTGTGCTGATGTGGGCTGGAGTGCGCTGGGACAGGTCCTCCTTCTGCAAGCAGTAGGACCATGTCTAAAACAGCGGTGCACTGGAGAATACACTCATTTCCAGAAACAGCTGAGAGCTATGGTGTATCGGAACCAAACACAGCAGCAGGGCCTCTCCTGGTCATGTATTGCAGGATGTTTTTTGTTTATCGTGAGTAAGAGCTGAGAAAGCATTGCTGAGAGCCAGCCTGTGAGACAAGCCCTGTGAAGCTGAGCTTTGGCATACATCAGCAGCCTGATTTCTCTCTTGCAATTGCAGCGTTTCTGAAAAAGTTTGAGAGCAAAAGTAGCCTCAAACAACGAGTTTCCATCAGTTTGATGCCTTAAAGAGGACTTGAGACAGCCTGATAGTAAAATTTTTTTATTTACAGTGTTACGTATTACAGGAAAATCAGTTTAAAAAGTCAATGCTTCTCTTTCTTCAAAGTTGCAGCATTTTGAAGATGTTAAGACAGATCTGAAAAATTTTAAGCATACCTGATTCCAGCCTTTCTGGCTGGGCTGGCTTGCAAGGTGAGACCATCTTGTCTTTTTCCTTTTTTTCTTTATTTTTTTTTTTTTCCCCAGCCCTTTGAGTTTCAAGTAAGGCATTTATTTATCTCTTTCTTTTGAATGAGGTTTCAACAAAACAGAAGACAATATCTGTGGGTTTGCTTGCCCTAGTAAACTTGAACAGCGTGCTGGTGCTGTTCACCTTCATAGTCAAATGCATGTTTTGCCATCAAAAGGTTATGGACTCCACTCAGCCTAATGTCCATGTTGGGTCACACAACAGGTTTTTTTGCCAGCCTTAAGTGAATGGTCCAGCTAGTTTCCTCGTGTGCTATCTTGTCTGCTCTTCTGATTCTCTCTGCCTTTGCATGGGATTCTGGTGTAAAGCTGACATCTGCAGAGCTCTGAAGCTCTCCCTTTACTTAGGTCTATGTATGACTCCTTCAGTCAAACACACTGATTTCTTACAACCTGTGAGTTTTACAGTGTTAACCAGAAAGATCTGAAAAGAAAAGGTCCTCGGAAGGCTGGTGAGAACTAGTATATGCACGCAGCATCCAGGCCTACCGGTTGGGGTTATTTCTGTTGTGTGTTTTTTGGAGGTTCTTTGTTGTGGTTGGTGGTTTTTTGGTTTTTTTTTTGGTTACTGCTTTTCCTCCATATCAAGTGTTAAATAAAACCAAACACTGACTTTAACTGTGGCTAGCTTTGTAGAATCAGGCTGGAAAAGAGCTGTAAGAGAATCTCTTAACCTAATGCTGCCAGGTTCACCACTAAACCATGTCCCTAAGCCCCACATCTACATGTCTATTAAATACCTCCAGATGGTGACTGCCACTTTCCTGGGGAGCCTCTTCCAATGCTTGACAACCCTTTTGGTAAAGAAAACTTCCCTGATATTCAGTCTAGACCTCCCTTGGTGCAGCTAGAGGCCATTTTATCTTGTCCTATTGCTTGTTCCATGGCAGAAGAGACTGAATATGAAGATGGAGCAAATATAAATATGAACCAGTAAGATGCATGTCCATGGTGGTGGTGTCTATGGTTTTCACATTGCAGTTATTTTGATTACCCAACTCCTCTTAATACATGGTATGTCAGTTTGCTTCAGATTAGCGATGTTTGTATATGTGAAACCAGGGCAGTATAGGATTAGCTTTGTACGCATTCACACCCAAAAGGATTTATCTTCATTTAGTCGTTGATCTCCTATTTCTTTCAAAACCCTTTCACAGAGGGGACGCCTGTTAATCTAGCACATCCAAAGTGACTTATTTTGCTCTGACTTGAGCTCAAAACCCCATATCATTATGCGATATGTATTTTAACACCGTACTGGGCAGTCCCAGGTGCTACCAGTCCAGCCCCCCAAAACAGCAAGTTCCCACCAGCCTTTGTGGTGCTTGAATGGGGTTGCATGTACGTGAAGTGAGTGAGCACAGGGCACGTCTGTCTGCAGACTATGGGATGGTGCACCTGAGCTCTGCCCTCGGCTCCATCCTTATCCCAAAGCTCCCACAGGACCAAAGGGGCAGCTGCACCTCGCTGGTGTCCACAGCAGGGTGCGTGCCTTTGGGAAAGGCTGGGAAGAAGCACAGAGGGATAGGTGATGGAAAAGGTATGATTCTCACTTTTTTTTTTGTTAGTTTTTTTGTTTTCCCCTTTCTTTTTCCTGGCTTCAGCCACAGTTTAGCTGAATACGCTGAATGCACTGCAAAGCCTCTCCTCGAGACCTCTCAAATGCACAGAAAGTGCTCACCGTGTTAGTCTGAGCAGAATCCTAACCTTTTGATGGCATTGATGGATTTATCCGTCAGGTGTTTTATAAGGCGTTTTTGTGTCAGCTTTAGAGATCAGAAAGGATGGTTTTTTTTTTTTTTGTATGAGAAGGATCTTAACCTTCTTTGTTCTGATGGTGATCTTGAACAGGACAAGCACTTCTACTCATTTTGTTAAGACCTAAATAGCAGGACATTAATAAGTGTCTGGTACAAAGAACTGATAAACGTAATCAAATAGGTTTTAAGCTAAAGCTTGTCATTCAGTCCTTTTTTTTTCCTTCTTTTTTTTCCTTGGAAAAAACCCAAGCCATAGGAAATATTATACTTATTGTGCTTTCTTATTGTTCAGGAATCCGTTGGCAGCAGTGAAGTAGTCCTTATGGAAACCGTTCTTGATTTCTGTTGTGGCAGGGCTTTCCTTTATAGCCGTTCTTGAAGGTGCTTTCCGGTATGTCTATAAAAGCACAATCCAAAGTAAATAGTTGGTTTTATTTAGTGCCCCCTAGATGCTACTTATTGTTAACTGTAAAATGGAGCTGTCTGGTGTTTTTTGATGCAGTTGTATGTATTTGCTCTAGACCGTGTTAAGCAAACTGTGATATTTTTCACTGCTGTGGGTGATACTACCTTATGAGTATTACTGTAATACTTCCTGATGTCAAAAAAAGACTTTTAAGCCCATTTTACTAGAAGCTCTATGTATGTAGGCAGGCTGGAGCAGTCCTGGCTAATAAAAAAAGATTGAAATAAACAAGGCAGAGACAGAGCTCCTTTTTTCTTTTTTTCCAAGTTGGAGGAAGGACTCTAAAAGTTGCCTGACAGCAAATTCAGACCTCACAAGTCCTGAATGTGGTACTTGACTTGCTATATAAGTGCAGAAGTGGTGATCTGCAGTGGGAAGATCATCATTATTCAGTAACTCTCTTGCAAACGTTACTGTATCTCTCATTCTTAACTGACATGTATATTTTAACATAAACATATTTTAAGTACTGGTGCTTGTTCAGCTTGTGAGTTCATGAAGACTGCTACCCAAAACGTTCTTCTTTCCCCTCACCCTTGTCAGAGAGCTCTTGGAAGATTGCTTACCTTAATGTAGAAGTTGATGAAGAGAATGACCAGCGTGGCCATGTAGGAGGACTGGAACATGAGGCAGCCAAAGGGGAATCCACATGGCTTCACAGCTGCACTGAGCGTGTGCACGATAGTGAGCAGGAACTGGATCTGTGGATCAAAGGTCACAGAATTGCTGAGGCTGGAAAAGACCTCTGAGATCATGAAGTCCAGCCTATGATCCAACACCACCACACTGGCCAGACCAAAGCACTAAGTGCCACATCCAGCCTCTCCTTAACCACCTCCAGGGACGGTGACTCCACCACTTCCCTGGGCAATGCATCCCAGTGCCTGAGCACCCTCTCCATGAGGAATTGTTTCCTGATACCTAACCTAAACCTTTCCATGCATGAGTATTTGCTGAGAAAGGGTCAGTGCTAGCTAAGCCAGATACAACAGTGTTACTTAGTCCTACTCTTTGAAAGTTGGGGTACTCTTGAACCTGTAAACATATTGTGAGAGTTAACTTCATAAGAGCACTATTTTAACTTAAAAAAACCCCTTAAGGGGTCAGAAAACTCTAAAATCTTGACTTTATACACCTAGTTGGTAAAATGAAAGTGTTTTGGGGTTTTGTTTGTTTGTTTTGGGGCTTTGGAGGGGGGGCTTGTGTTTTTTTTGTTTGTTTGTTTTGGGGCTTTGGAGGGGGAACTTGTGTTTTTTTTTTGTTTGTTTGTTTTTTTTTTGTTTGTTTTTCATTTAGTGTAGAGGTTTGTTTTATCATATAGACCATGTCATGCCAGGTACAGCATTGTCTCTGTTACTGGGCAGAAACTCAAGAAAACTCTGAAGACTCTAGGCAATAGCTTGAGAAGCCTGAACAGAAAATGGAAATCCCAAGTCCTTCAGGAATGGGCTGCTCCAGCAGAGGACCTTGACACCCTGTGTGGGGTGTTCTCTATAGCCTGCAGCTCCTGCCAGGAGCCTGATTCTGTACAGGGTCCTCCAGGGGCTATAGCTTCCTTTGGGATATGTCCACTTGTTGCAGTGTGGGGTCCTCCATGGGCTACAGGTAGACATCTGCTCCACTGTGGTCCTCCCTGGGCTACAGGGGGATGGCCTGCCTCACCATGGTCTTCACCACGAGCTGAAGAGGAGTCTCTGCTCCTCCTTCTGCTCTGACCTGGGTGTCTGCAGGGCTGTTTTTCTCATATTTTCTCACTCATTTCTCTCTCAGCTGCTGTGCAGAATTTTTTACCCTTTATTAAATACAATATCACAGAGGTGACCCCAGCTTTGCTGATGGGCTCAGATTTGGCCAGAGGCAGGTCCATCTTGGAGTTACCTCTGTCAGTTTTTGTAACTTTTTAATCAGTCTATTTGCCATGATTAAGCAGTGTCCATTTTCTATGCAAGAGATCAGAAATACTGGAATTTTATGGACTGTGGAGTTTCTGCTGTATTGTAGAAAATATTTTTTTTTAAGTTATGTTTGTGACTTATTCTACATAACAGCTTTGTTATATTTGCAATCTAACTGGCCTAATTCTTCAAATGACAATGTTTTTATCTGTCATTCATTTCGCCCTTTCTGGCATTTTGAAGGACTTATGGTAGTTAAAAATGAGACTAAAATAGGTACATACCAATTGTGCCTGCGTGAGGTATTTCTTCCACCAGAGATACTTGCGCATGGAGGGGATGACAGATAGTCCGTAGTAAGAATACATAAGCACATGGATAAAGCTATTCAAAGTGGGTCCAAAGAAACCTATAAAAATCCAGCAAGGAAAACATTTTAACGTATCAATTGCTAAAAAGTGAGATATTATTGCTAGCGCCGTCTCTTCCATACGGCAAGTCTTTTCTTTGTGCTTATCCTTGACCGAAGACATTCCTGGTGTGAAGGGATGCAACTGATAAACTGAATTATACTTCCTGCAGGTTTTTCTCATTCTAAATAGTGTACTTTCATCCTGTGTTTTTGATTTTCTCCACTTTTCTATTCTGTATTTTACAGGTTATTGTTTTTGTTTCCCTTCTAAACATTATTCTTTAAGCCGGGCTCTGTTCCTGCTGCAGGCTTTAAACATGACTGTGGGTCATGACTGTGCTGCTGGTACTGCCCCAAGAGGCACCTGCTTTCCCTGTTTCTGATGCAGTAGTAAGGGCTTTACTCCGAGTCAAATGAGCCTCATGTGGCTGTGATTGAGCACTTCTCTCATTTCCTCCAGAGGCTCTTCTGCTAGGTGCAGATTTCCACTCTAACTAGCTGCAGTTAGTAACTACTAATTCTAGAGCAAATGCGTTTCCCTCTGTACCTTGCGGAGTATTGAGGAGTAGCAGGGCTACCCTATATCTGCTGTTACGGGTTTGAGGGCAGTACTTGACAGCTACAGGTGGTCTCACCAATTGTTTTGAATTTTCTACTGCTTAATTGCTTAATAATTACTGCTTAATTACTTAGCTACTGTGTTTTCATTCTGTTAATTATAATAGTGCAAAGTGTGGGGAGTATGTTCAGGCAAAATAGAAAGCACAGACTCCTGCTAATTTGTTTATGTGCCTGTAGACATAGCTCCTAGTTGCTACTAAACCCTTAATCTCTGATTCTCTTTATAGCAGTAATTTACTTTGATTTTGTGCTGTCCATAGTAAGTGCCAACAAATGCAAATTCTGCTTTTTGTTCTGAAAAACACCTCTGATGAGTGGCTTTACAAGATGTTACAGTGGGCTGAGGTGACTCCCTGTAATAGCTCAGAGCAAGAAAACTCATTGTCTTCTCAGCTCTGACAATGATGCCATGGGAAGCCTCTGGCTATATGAAGCACCTGGAAAATTGTGCGTGTGGTGAGAAACTTGAAGTAGTTCTTGGCTATTTGGATTTAGTATGCCAATGCACCGTATGTCTTCCCTGCCTCAGCAGGGGAGGTGATGGCAATTGCAATATTCTCCTAAGAGCCAAGTCGTTTTGAAATATACCGAACCCAAAATATAATAAGGCAAAAGATGCTTCTCCTAGTTCAATATGAGATGTAAGACTGTATCAAGCAGTTCTGGCTGTACAGTAGTTCAACTACTTGAACGAGATGTATTTTTATTTAAACCAAACTGGTGTTTTAATTAGCAATTATGTAAGTATCTTGCTGAAGCAGAATGCCAGATTGATGCAGAAAGGAGTCAAAATTGTAAAAACGTTGTGGAGTTAATTTGCTGTGATACTGATTTTACTAGGGTCATGATCTCCTCCTGCATCTGCTTTTGGAGTAAGTCTTGTATGTGACCACTCTTCTGTACGACTTAGCAGTGCTCTCCTGCCTATAAGTGGTTTGAAGAGAACTAAATATGAGAGGTTATGGCAGCCAAGTGGAAAATCTAGTGCCCAACACTCAGATATTTTTGAACAGGACTTCTAACTGTGCTTTTAATTTTACTGTGATCTGCAGTTGTTAGGCAGTTCTAAAAGGCATGAATATTAATGATGGTGTCAGTGCTTTGCAAGGTGATGCGATTCCCCTCCAGCACGACTTAAAACTCGGGTGATGAAGCAAACACAGACTTACTTTGCCCACAGGGTATCCAGTTCAGGACACACCACCAAATGTTAAACATAGTGGCATGGTGATACACATGAAGGAAGGTGATCTGGCTGCTTTTCTTTCTCAGTACAAAGAAGATAGTGTCCATGAATTCAATTACTTTGGAAAAATAATACCACCACAGCACCTTGGCTACCTGTACAAGCAAGAACAGAGGAGCAGGAGATCAGTATCTTTCCATAGAAGGGCTTAAATATTGCTGTACTTCATTAGTCCCTAAGTGTGCATCTTCTGAAAAGCATAAATAACCTATTAAAGGAGGAGCACAAGCTCTTGTTTCCATTTTATTGCCCTTTTGAGCAAGGCATTTTTTTTTTTTTTAAAAAGTAATTTATGTGATTATATAAATGTATAATTACAAACATGTAATTTAAGAAATATAAGGTTTGGAGAGTTTTCTAATTGTTCTACTTTCTTTTCATCAAAGGTACAATCGTGGGAGTGGCTTTTGTTTGGGTTGGGTTGTTTGTTTTTTTTTTTTTTAGCATGTTACCACTTATACTTTCTTGGCACTGAACAGATTTTGCTGACAGCTTCTTTTTAAAAATAATCTAACTCTGACATTCAACACAATGGAATAGACCTTCCCTTGGAGTACAGACACTTTTTTCAGAGCTCAGGATAGATGCCAGGACAGTTAAAGATAAATAGTTAAAACAGGAAGGGGAAAATGGCTTACTGATGGCAAAAGGTATTTCACTGACATTTTCCGTGCCAAAACACAGACAGATTTTGAGGATTGGGGAAAGCTATATTAATTAATAAATTAACCTGTCTTCCTGCCCTTGAGCTCTAATGTAATCTGGAAAGCGAGCCTGACATGAGGAATGACAGACACTTCATACATGGAATTGTTGTGATGCAGAAATATAAGGCTTGAAACTAGAGATGAGCTTAGCCAGCGCCATGTCTCTGCAGTTTTCCAAAGTTTAGAGTTGGGCTTAAATCAGTTGCTAGCTAGAGCCTGAGAAGCGTTACATTTTAAATGATTGATTTTTTTTCTCCTAAATTCTTAAATGATCCATATTCTCTGTTTTGATAGCCAGGCAACACCGATCTTGATATATGGCTTTTCGAAACTCTCCCTGCTGTGCTTTCTATGGCAAGGATGCTATTAAACCCGTCATGTAAGATTGTGGTAAGGTCCTTATCACCACCGTGATCACCAGCGTTGTGCTGGCGAGCGGAGGATGGGCTGCCGCGGTCTCTCACCCGGATGTCAGCATCCCCCGCGCTGTGGAGGTTCTGGCACTGCAGATTGTAGCCTCCTTCCCATGTGGCAAGGATGAGCTGGAACGGAAAAACACAAATTACATGCGTGAATGGGCGTAGCAGTTTGTATTTACCCTTCTGGTTGTTGTGTGGTTATTGAAAAATAAGCGGTGGGTTCCCACTCCGCTCCTGAACTGATGGTCCTAAACCAGATTACTTGCTTTGAAATGGAAAAGGCTTCGGGTTGTATCGGGGATATACGCTGAAATGGTATGACTTCAACATTTCTCTAGCTTTAGAGCCTTCAAGGCATCTATTAAAATCTTTCGTTACTTAATCCTCACTCTAAAGCTTGTGCTTGATTATTGTATCTCTGTCCTGAAGCAATATGAGCAGAGCTTAACATGGGTACTTGTGCAAAACTGTCCTTCAGAAAAATTCCTTGATGCCAAGCAAGCAAACAGAAGTAGTACAATGGGAGAAATATTTCCTAATGCCACACGCAGGTCTCCTTATCCTACACTGCTAAATGCAGGAGGAAGTAGAGGAGAGCCGGCATAGTGCTGAATGGAGACATGAATAAACACACAAGCAATTTTTAGATCTAATGCGTGCCTTACTGGGAAGCAAAGCAATGAAATGCCAGGCTGCCACATCGTGATGATGCAGAAGGTTTCTAGGAAGCCACAATGGTGGCTTTTTGGTGTGGAGTATTTTTATAGTAGTTGACCCCCTAAAGCATTCAGCAACCCTTTTGGAACAGGGAGCATAAGGTATTGTAAATGCTGTGTAGAATCTCTTGATTTTAAAAAGGTCTCACTTTTTCTTGACTGTGTGCAAAATTGTGGGACCTGAATGGAGCAATTCATGTTTTGGGGTCTGTCCCTCTACAGAGGATGCACTGAATGATGGTGGGAGAAATATGTTGACGTGTTAAGCTGCGAGCACAATTACAAGATGCTGTGAGAAGAAGGCTGCCTTCAACTCTGCCACTACATTCATGGGGAAGGTGTTTATCAATGACTGTGTAGACTTTTCTCTCCAGACTGAAAAATAATCACTGGTGTTGAATGTGTGTAGGTATTCTCAGTGATCAACCTAAATTAAGTCCTGGAGAAAACACATAAAGAAAGTTGTTATTGATATTATCTGGCGAGTTATAATAAGCATTCTGGTCTATTTGCTAAATTCACATTAAAAAGCAACAGAACCTGGAGACCCAGAGCCTTCTATTATTTTTCCTCTGAATTGCAGTTCTGTGGTTGTCCCTGTGATTCTAACACAGCCTATCTATGTGGCCAAAATAATGCATGGGGGATTGCAGAGAGGGTTGAGAAGACAATAAACAAGTGTTTTGCAGGAAACTGATGTATAACACCTGAAATGAACCCACTCCTTTTTGGAACAGCCCATGTCTTGGTGGATTTGCCTGCAGTAGGTGTTAGAGATCACCAAACCAAACAGGATGGGACTAGAGCCTGAAAACAGGGGAAACAACACAACCTCAGCTATAGATCGTCCTACAAATGCCCAGCACAGCCGAGATCACGGCTTGTCTTGCCAAGTTGGGTTCTGCTTGGATGTTGTGCCTGCAAGTGCCTCCTAGGGCTGGGAGGTCTGGGCTCCTCTCTTGTCCCTGCTGTGGTGGGGAGGCAGGGAGGCATGGGTTGCATCTCTCCAACCAACTTAACATGCAAAGGTGCTGAAGAGAAAGGAGTTCAAACTCCTTCAGAAAAGTAAATTATACTACTTCATTTCCCTTTTATCTTTTGAAAAGTAGTGAGTGGGAAAGGGGTTATTTCTGTTCTGTGAGCAGGAGGCAGGGGTCATGCAGCTCCCCAGTTGAAGATTTGCTCTCAACTCCATCTTGTTACTGAAGAAATGCTGAAGAAAATGGATTTGTCATCATTGTTCTTGGCTGGGAACAGTACGGTCAAGCAGTGCTGGAGTATCAGGAGCTCACCTGGATGCAGCACTTGGGCTGCAGTGGTGACATCTGGAAGCTTTGGTAAGGCATGGCCTCAGGCATCAGCCTTAACAGCTCTGCCAGATGCCTCTGCTGCTAGTTCCACTAATAGGAGCAAGAAGAAAAATATATTGCCTCCTGCTGCTTTATATTTTTGTCAGTCAATGGTAATGAAACCCTCATCGGCTTTACAGGTGGAAGGCGGTGAGAGCAGGACTGCCTCTAGCCCTTGTAATTGAAGTTTGAAATCATGACCCACAAAACCCTAAAAATAAATGAAGAGGTGATAGCTTTTTCATTCTTGTGCAAGGCAGTGTCAGAGCCTTGCTAAACTAAGGGGACTGATTTATGTAATGGAAAGAAGGGGCTAGCTTGCAGTAAATATATATAGTATGTAGTGCTACCTATATAGTACTATATATATACTTATATAGTGCTACTTATATATAATAAAAGTAGTATATAGTGCTACCTATACATAATAAGTAAATCACTTATTTTCTTTGACTGTAGGAGGAGATTTTTGTGAATAGCAGCTCCTTCCTGGATTTCTAGACTTTCACAAAATAGTCCTAAAGTAGTTATGTGCAGCTCAGGTCCCAAGGGAAAGAAGCCTAAGCAGACTCAAGTTGGTGTCTCATGAAGGAGAGAGGCATGACTGTGGTTTTTTTGCATATTTTTATTTTAAGTGAATTTTAGCATAAGATGTCTTGGAAGTTTATCAGTGTCTAAAATCAAGAGGCTGTGTTACCTAACTTTCCTGTTTCATTTCTTAGGGGGATAAATCAGCTGCCTGACTGTGACATGGCTCAGTTCCAAAAGTCTTCCTATGCCCAAGAGGCTGAGGTGAAGGCATGGCACAGTGATGCTGAGGTGATTGTACTTTTATGTAATAAATAGATGAATAGAGGAAAGTACCATTAATCATCCTTGATTTAGCATTAAATCATTCTTAAATAGCATCTAAAAACTTTTCAGATGGGTTTTCTGGCTAGAACATTCAAATTATCTGTGAAGAGTATTTGTTAAAGAATATCATTCTACAGGGGCTGCCAATTTTAAACAAGGCTCCAAGAATTGTGGTATAACCCCAGGTTCTAGATGGGTAGCAGAGATGCAAAACAGCCTGTGATTGCTGCTCTTGGGTCCTGAAGATCTCAAATAAGCTGTAGTCTGGCAAGACCATAACCCCGTAGGAAAGAAGTGTGGGTTAAATTGTTGCACCCAGGACTGGAGGATTCCAGGAGCCTAATGCTGAGCCTGCGGCTTGGTCAGTGCCTAAGTTTCCCCAAATGTAGTGTTCCTTAGTAATAGTGGTGTGCCAAACAAGAAACAGACACTGAATAGGAAACACCCCATCAGATTTTTCACAATTATTTCGTTGTCTTTCTTTATGACACAGCCAAGATATTTTTCGTGGAGGCAGAAATGTAAAGAACATGCTTTGGGCTACTCCTTAGTAAGGCTGCCCACCTGTCCACAGATCTAGTTAGAGGTCCAACAATTACAGGCATGTGCCCCCCTCCCAGGAAAAGGATTGGCTAATTCTGTAATACACTGATTGGGTTTTGCTATCCTGACTTGCCATATGTAAAGCTGGGCTCCCTGCTGTGTCTCATGTCCTGCCTGGGCATCCTAACTAGAAGGATACTGGTTATTCCAGACCAGAAGTTGTCCCATGCTTTGTTTCTATATTGAGATCAGAAAGTGCATAATTTCTATCAGTGTCTGGTGGTTTGTTGTTTTTTTTTTTCCCCCCTCTATCAACAAAAACTCTTTCCAAATGCAAAGCCACGTTGCTGAGATACTCTGGCCACTTCCATTTAACAGCTCTTAAGTAAGTGGGAGGCTGCTAGAAGGAGTAGTGAACTAATGATTTAAAAATTACTTGAACTTATGAATGCTAATTCTTTTGTGTGTTGCTGTTGTCTGAATAGTGAAATAGGCTAAAACAAACCCCTTCTGGGCTTATTTTTCATGAATCTTTGATACATGTCTTATTCTGAATAGCTTATATATATTACTTTGTGGTACTAGTGGTTGTATCAGACACTGCACATATGAAAAAACCTCATAGTATAAAATTTTACTCTTGATTTCCGGTGAAGTTCTAGTGAAATCTATTTGAATTGGACAGGTGAGATCCAGAGCACTGCCTTTTTCATGAGAAGGCTGAAACATTTTACCTAAATGCAGATCCCCAAAAGGTCAGTAGGAAAGACACGGAGAACTCAGGGGGTGAAAATGAGAAGTGAGGACAACGTGTCCAGTTAGAATAACTGCAGCTGAGAACAGCAAAGTCAGCTCCTCAGCTCTTCAACAAATTATCTGATTAAGACTGAAGAACACCTGGGAATTTAGCTCTAAACAAACGTCCAAAAAACCCGTTTTACTTTTGTCTTTACGTTTCACTGTTTTACATTGCACTCTAGATGGCCTTTTGCTGTCTAGTTTGTCTTTCTCACTTCTCCCTTCTTTCAAATAATAGAAAAGTACACTTGATTTCTTCTGGTTTCTCACTTTGTTCTTTTCCTCTTTTTTTCCATAAGATTAAGACAGTCTTTCTGTCCTAATTAAAGGATTATTCAAAGGAAGCCTTCACCTCAAGCACCAGTTCTTATGGATCTAGAATAATTCTTTGCTTGTCTGCTAAATTTACATTCACTAACTTTTAGGCAATTAATGAAGGACTAAATAATTTAATGCAATTTTTGAAAGAAGAAAAGATTTTATATTGAAGTTGGCTTTCTGTAGTAAAATTCCAAGATAATCAAACCGACTAGGATCTGTGCTTTTGTGTTTTGTTTTGTTTTTTTTTAAAAACCTTTCCTCATCCTGTGCAGTATTAAAATTTTACTTAGATCTTTTTGCTACTTAAACTCTATCTTTTTATTATTTGTGCAGTTAGGAATTTTTTTTTAATGCCAGTTCTTAGATTGATGGAATAAGGAGACTTGAAGTGCTCCTCATTTCTTCAGTTTGTTCCTTTCATTTTGCCCACCATTATCCCAAATCCAGCCATTTATACTGGGCTTTCTAGTACTGTGTGAGAGGTAATCACAGTTGCCAACAAGTAGGGCTGAAAATGGTGGCTGGTGCTTCTGATCATGCCAGGATTGTGCTTCTGACCTTTCCCTTTTTTTAAATGTGTGTCCTGTAAGGTAAAAGGCTTTTCTGGCTTCACTAAAAGGGTTAATGCACTGGGCTCACAGTACTTGTGCAATTCTGCTCTTTCCCCTTTGGTCTGAGTCAAGGGCTCCTCACATGCAAGTCCCTCTTCTCAACATGGATGTGGTTGCTGGCTTACAAATCCGGTGGATTTGTAATAAGTCTGTGAAGCTACCTGGGGATACGGGCAGCTTGAGACATCACGCCACTCCTATGCTAATGACATATCTCTAGATCTCCTTTTTAATCTGGCCCAGATGGTGCCAGTGTCCTGGTTTTCTCAGTGCCTGATCAACAAAAGGACTTGGGTGAGACCTTGATGACTAGCTGAGATTTAATTTAAATAGGGCAGAGGTGATGCTGCTGGGGAAAGCAGCCTAAAACCATGGCAGAGATTATATCCTTTCCTATTAATGAGAGAGAGTATCGTCACTTGAGTAATTTCGCAATTCAGAGATCAGTATTGGTCTCTTGTTTCCCGTTTAAATTTATTATTGGAGTTGTGACAGTTTTATCTCGTGGTGAACTTCAAAACCTTGTGTCCCCTGGTGCTTCAGACTGCATCCCTGGAGTGTGGTTTGTGAGTTGGCTTGCACGTGGAATAACTTTAAGGTATGCAAAGACCTGATTGCTTTTCTCTGTAAGCAGATTTCCTCCTCATAGTTGGTTCTTTTAGGATCTTAGGCAGAGGTTTGTGTAGAAGAAAGATGTACTTTTCTTCAGTGAAATTTCTGTAAGTTTTGATTTTTATTAAAATAAGGCAGCAGTGGTTGTTCATGCAAATTTTTGGCAATGATGCTAGAAACTGTAGTCTCGGTGGACTTGATCTGGACCTGTGAACACTTAATGGTACAGAAGACTGCACAATCAGTAACGAATCTCGCAGGTTTCTCTTGTAGTGGCAAGATTGGAAGGAATTGTCTTCTGGCCGCTCAGCAGGGCACCTGCAGCCTGACTAATTTAAGCACAGAACTCTGTCTAAGCTTCAGGTACTTCAAAAAGCCACGCTCCAAGCCCAAATGCCCCACTTCTCCGTTATATTCAACAGGGAGAGGTAAGTGCTTGTGACAACTCCAGGAAAATCCATTTCCCTAGCTCAGAATTCTAAATTAAAAGTTTAATAAGCTACTCTTCTGAGAGGCCTTCAAAGGCACCTAACTCTTGACACAAAAATTCTGCCACATCTCAGTAGGATGAGGGCAGCTGGGCAGAATTGTTTTTCTTTAGAGCTTTTGCTTCAGGGGTAGTAGGGGTATCTGACCTTATGTTAATGGCACATATTAGAGTTGTCCTGGAGCTGTTCCTTTAGGGATTGGTTGACCTTAAAGCTCATGGAGCTAAAATTGGCTCCTGTATACTTCAGGCCCATGATGCAGCACATGGAGCTCGGGCTCAGAAGAGGAATTTGCCCCTGGAGACTTAAGAACGGACTTTTTGTTACGTCTCCTTGCTATAACCTTTGTTGTCTTGCCTTCAGGTTGTACAAATCAACTGTAGTCAAGGGCCAGCTAAACTAGGTCAGGGGATGAAGGTGGGGAGATGAAGAATTGTTGCACAGGTACCCCCATCAGCTGGTGTCCTCTGTTTCTCATTAAAGCCATCATGTGGGACAGCCTGCATTTGGAGATACATTCTTTCTTCTGAAAGAGATTTTTCTTTAGGATGTCTAAGAAGCACCTACTCCCTTCTGGAGCTATCACAAGATAAGATGTGTGACAGCTTATAAACAAAACTAGGAAGAGATAAGAACGATGCCAGTAACTGGTTTGGTATTTTTGTTTGGGTTGCTTCTTTTTTGGTGGTTTGTCTCAATTACAGAAGTTATTGTTTTGTGATGTTTCTCTGTTATAGAGACCGGGGTGTTCAGATGCAGTGGAAGGCTGGAGAAATAAGACAACTGTTATAGTTGTCTCTCACTAGGAATTAATCCTGAATCGTACTCGCTGGAGGGATCAGCTGTGTTTACATAAGAAACCACTGTGCAGAATGTTCTAAATATAGGTGACTCTTGCCTTAAAGAGTTTACTATCCATAAAAGGCAGAGAATAAGGGTCAGAGAGAAGCTTTGGAAATGAGGTATTTCGAAGTGTTGAGTCACTGTAACTTTATTCAGTACCAAAGAAGATTTTTGCTCTTCCATTTGCCTGTTTTCCTTCAGCAGGGATGCACAAGCTACCTCAGGCAGATCTGCAAGTCGTAACTTCCATTCCGCTCCTTCACAAGAGAGGCTGTGATAGGAACCAGGCAAATAAACTATGAAAGATTAGAGTGCTGCTGTTAGAGAAGAGTGTCTTGTAGAGTGTAACACCAGCCTGGTTGACAGTCCAAAGTTAAGAATGAAATTTGCAGCACAAATCAGTCATGTTGTACCCCAGGTTCACAAAAGAATCATAGAGTCATTAAGGCTGGAAAAGACCTCTAAGATCATCTAGTCCAACTATCAACCCAGCACCACCATGACCACTAAACAATATCCTAAAGTGCCAGATCTACATGTTTTTTGAACATCTCCAGGGATGGCGACTCCACTGCTTCCCTGGGCAGCCTGTTCCAGTGCCTCACCACTTTCAGTAAAGAAATTTTTCCTGACATCTAATCTAAACCTCCCCTGGTGCAACTACGAGCCCTTTCCAGCCATGCCCAGCTGCAGTCTGAGAGGTGTAAATCAGTGTTCTCTAGATATGGAATTGAGGTCTAACGGGACTAGTCTGAGGACTAACGCAGCTTGGCAATCCTCTGCAGCAAAGTTAGGCTCAGGAAGGACAGGGCAGGGAGGTGGCTGAATGGGAGCGGCCTCAGCAGAATTCCCACGAGGTTGCAAAGGTGGCAAAACCCAAGTTTGCTTCGTTCATGTAAGCAGGACCTGCTAAAATTGTCTTTTGTTCATTCATTTGCTTGTGGCAGGCCAAATCAGCATGCAAGGGGAAGGGAGCGGTGGTTTTGTTTTCTATCCAACTAATCCTTTTTGCTGAGTCCTGCTACTGAGCATAGTTATCTGTATGCCTTCAAGCAAAATAGGGATTTAAACATCAAAGTGCTAATTTAAATGCTGGAGGACAACCAATATGGAGTCATCAAACCTTGCAGCAGTTGTGCTGGCTTATCCTTTGCACAAAGGCACAAATCTAAACTGCTGATCAGTCACCTGGTGTTTAGCTCAAATTCAAAAATTGAAGTCTTTGAGGTGCTTTTCTGTAAAATTTCTTTGTCCAGCTGACAGAACAGTTGGTCTCCTTTTTTTTTTTTCCTTCCCCTTTCTTTTTTTTTTTCTCATGGAAACTGCTGTGGTAGCCAGGAGCCCAGGGAGCAAAAGTGCTGTGAGGCTGTGCAGGCAAGGCAGAAATGTGAGCTCCTAGGAGACCAAGCACATCCTTCAGCCAGGTTTTCTCATGCCCAGGGTCGCTTTTTAAGCCAATTCAGATTATGTTTTATGGTTTTTGTCTTTCAGTGTTTGTTTTTTAGGGCCACAAATAAGGGATGCTAACACTGTAATACTGGAAGTACCTCAGTTATCACAAGGCTGAGAATAGGGAGCTCCCAAATAATACCCAAGTGTAGTGACTTCTGGCACTTTCTCCCCACTGGGCAGGCGAAAACACATAGATCTTTGCAGAGGAGCACTGTTTGAGTCCTCTGCTGTTGCAAAATTGTCAGATGCATTCAAACCTCTGAGCAGATCCTGATTTCCGTGAGCATGTTCCTTCCTGATAAGTACTTGGAAAATAATCTGAGTGACCATATGCAGCCTCCAAATCCCACAGCACTTGCTTTTGGTTGAGGTGGCAGGTTTTTAACATCTGTCTTTTGCTATCTGACCCTCTGAGGAAAGCTCCTTAGTCAGGAGATCGGAAAAATAACACTGAATTGCCAGGACTATAAATAATCAGTTACTCTTGTCTATAAATCTGTTCACATTTAAGCGCGGGCATTTGTACATAGAAAAATCACTCCATCGACAGCCATACAAGTGAAACCTGAACCGTGAGTGCTAAAGAATAAGGTGTAGGCATGTCTGAGCTGAGCAACTGCTGCAGGTTCAAATTCATGTTTGTAGGCGCGGACCTGGCAGCAGCCAGCTGTGTGCCCCTGTGTGGAGCTCAGGAAGGGCAGTTAAAACACGCCAAAATCTAAGCTGAGGAGGTGCTGTACAACTTACTGTCCAATGGCTAAGGGACTTTTCCTGATCTTAAATTTACTTTGCTGTTGATGTTAACTTTCCTAGCAAAACTATCTGGTGCTATCATATTTCTGCTAAAAAAAATATATATATATTGCTCACCTTTCTCAGTTGTGCTGCGTGGAAGAGCACTTACCTCTGTGAGCATGTACAAGGAGAGCAATGTAATCCCAAGGTTATATACAATGAGGTGAGCCCTGAGAGAGAAAGGAGGCCTGTTCTTCATGAACTTGTTGCCCAGCCATATGCAGAGTAAGTATGCTCCAGTAAGGAAAAATGTGGGAAGGTAGGAGTCCAGAAGGAACCATCCTCTAACCCTGGCATCTGAAAAAGAGATGCATGCAGCAGGCAATTAAAGAGGCTATGGAAAAGTATTGCTAAAATAGGGCACATCACATCGTGAAAAAAAGTCTGCTAAAAGCAATCTGCCATGCTTGCCTTGCAAAACCCATCCACTGCTTCTACCTCCTCCAAATGGCATACTAATTCAGAGAGTACGCACTGAAAATTGCGTGGAATTCCCTAATTTATAGACCGCTTAAATATCCTCATTTTAGCAGGAAAGAGAAAATGAAAAGAAGAAAATGTTTCTATATGCTTTAAAAAACCTGATGTTTTACCTCCGTATTTAATTAAATCATATCTTGATCCTCTCAACAGTTTACAGATGTATTAAATGTGAACCATGCATGTAAAGTTTCCTGTTCACGTACTACTGTAATTCTGCATTTGCCGTGTATGTATGGGAGTATATGACACTTGCATAAAAACATTTATACAAGGGGAAGATTTTTCAAAAGCATTAAATATGAAAAACAAATGGCAAATATTGTCTTTGATATTTATCAAAGATTTTTGGCAAGATAAGGGCTTGCTTCCTCATGGTTCCTGTCCCATTTGCCTGGTCCTGAAATGAAATATTAAGGTCAAATCCTGCTTGCCTTATTCACACAAGTAATCCCATTGGCAATAATCAGATAGCTCAGTGTATACGAGCAAAACCTAATCCTACGCGCCAATCTGGAGGCATCGCTTCGTTGTCCTATGAGCAACTTGATGTTGTGAATGAAAGGAGTACTGTTTGGTTTGGGTTTTTTTTTTCCAAGAAGGAGCAAAATTTAGAGATAGATTTCCGCAGCAACCGTCTTCACACATATATCTATGAAAAGAGCAAGGGGCATCATGGTTCGTTTTTCAAAAAGGTTGTTCTAAATCTGCCATGATTTGTGGAGTAATTGAAAAACTAAGTCAGTGAGAAGCTGTTGTGCAGGTCACCGGAGTTCTTTTGGCTCTTAGAAATTGCTTTAAGTTACTTTATTTTTTAGAAAAATCATGATATTATGTTAAAAGTTATAAAAGCAGAAAAGGTATTTACAGTGCATAAAAAAATAATCTTACTATTTTTCCCCCCGTGTTGAATTTGGAAAGGACTGGGCAATGGATGAGGCACAAACCAAATGTGTCCATGCATTTAACAAACTTGCCAGCTGCAATTTTGCTCTACTGTGTTCTTCCTGACTATTCTTTCCCAGAAATATATGCACACAAGTATATGTAATGTAAGATTTTGAGTTGGAGTAATCTGCTTAGGAACAGGGCTATGAACATCACCTTTCTCATTATGGTCTCCCTCAACTCCTCACCTTGCTTCCATCTCAGTGGATTTAACACTCACCTACTGGGTTTGGGCTCCACATGTTAGGTCTTTTGCAGGAACAATAACTAAGAACTAAGTTACTGTGGAAGTCCAGTGCTTCTCCTGGTTCTGACTCTCCCTTCTGGACTCAGAAAAACCTACAGGAGAGGTATAATACTGAAGCAGCCATGATATTCATCTCTTATAAAGCACAGTCCTTGAGGGTAGCCGCGCTTTGTTGTGCATTACCAAGCCAAAACTCCTATTTTCTGTCTTCAGATCTCAGTGCCTACTAGGATCACAGAATTGTTGAGGCTGGAAAAGACCTCTGAGATCATCAAGTCACCTCAGTGTGAGTGTGAAACACTTCCAACAATCCTCTTCAAAATTCACAAGCTACATCTCAAGCTCTGGGATGAAAGTTTTTATGATGACTTTGCTCCTCCACAGGCTCTCAACAGGGCAAGAAGTCACAGGACAGGTAAAGGCTGCACATGTAAGCATTGCTCTAGTGTATATTATAAGAGCATACGGATTTAGTTTATTTAATTGGTTTCCTAAATGAAGATGTAGAAAGCAGTTTTGTCAGCAAGACTGCTACCTAAAAAAAGGTGTCCCTGCCCGAGGATTTCAATGCTTGGTGCACAAAGGCTACTTGCCCAAAGGCCAGCTGGCATTCCTAGATAACAAAATGACATGTTTGCTCAAAGAGGAAAAGTAACTGGAAGAGATGAGAATACAAATTAAACTGAACAGTGTTAAATTCTGCTCCAGTATGCCCTCAGAAAGTTTCCACTCTGCTGTGAGTGGCCACAAGTGTGTGGGCTGATCCACACAAAAGCTGAACTTGTGTGCCTTTTCAGGTCAGCATGCCAAGTGTTTTTAAGGTCTATGCTATTTCGGTTTCAAGAGAAATTGTAAAAAAGTGTATCCTTACTGATTATTTTTTACCCTGACCTTGGTACCTTGACAGGTAAAGCTGTTACTGGCAGAAAGTGATTTATAAATGGGAGCCAAGAAATGCGACTTTTTTGTTTCTGCTTAGGCTTGTCCCTGGACGATAAGAAGAGGGAGGTTTTTATGCGGCAGGAAATAAGAGGAAAGGGAGTGTATTTCAGAAAAAAAGTGATAGGAAGGAGGAGAGATCAAAAGTATTTCTGCTGACTGACAATTAGATCTTCGTGTTCAAGCACTATAAAGGCATGCTGTCAGTAGGAGAAAGGATTACTTTTACAATATTGAACTCACACATCATCCGAATTTGAGACCAAGACAGTGAATAGAGCCACAGTGTGAAAGCGCTGGACCACAGCAGGGAAGGAGCAGGCGCCCCACGAGGTCTGGTTGCTCAATGAAAAAGGACATTCACAGTCACTGGCTGCAACGTAACAGACTCTTGGGGTGAAACCTTGGCTCCTTTGAAATGAGGCTCCCAGGCTCTTGAAAGGTATCAGGCTTTTATCAGTGAGGTTAAGAAACATTTGGATTCTGTTTAGTTTCTGTATCGCTTTGGCTGGTTTGTGTCTGAGTAGATTCAGACCCTTTTAGGTGCAGAGGGTTGATGGTGTTGCACCAATACCTTGATACTGTTCATACTCAACTGAGGAGTACTTATTACTTTGTCGTAACTTTATTAAAATATATGGTTTTTACTACCTCTATTTCTTTCACAGATGAAACAAGCAACCAATTAACTAGAACTAGCTCCTGCAATTCGACATTCCTTAATTTTCCATAATGCTGCAGATGAAGGCAACCCTGGAAAAATGCTCTTTTACAGAAAAATATAGCTATTTCACTCTTCCTCATTGTGCCTTGGGCCTAGATAATCTTCTAACCGGATTAATATGGACCAACACCAAATTGTAAGACAACTTGTTAGGAGATGCAACCCATGGGTACGTATGCAGCTTCTGTTCCCTGATCCAAAGGACTCGGTCTGGTAGTTCAAAAGCGAGCACTGCAGTAAATTTGTGTACAAAGTCCAGGTGACACCAGTGAACAAAGGCATGAAATATACCTGTAGATAAATGAAATACAGGTTTTTGAGAGCACACCCCTTGTGCCAGCAGTGCAGTACTGCAGCTCCTGTTAACCTGGTGCTACCAACACGAGCAGATGTTGTCTCTGGGAACTAGTGCCTGGCTTTCTGTCTCTGCTCATGTCCTCGCCCACAGCTGGTAACGATGACTGAAATCAGAACAGTGGTACCAGTATTTAAGAAGTTGCCCCCTAAAATATAAATCATAAATACGGGACTGATTTTTTTGAAAGAACAGAGCACTGGTGTCTTTTTAAGCCATCTTTCTGTTGAACAAAGTGTGTGCTGTGGATGAGAACTGGTGGACAGGAAATGGGGAATGGTTGGTTGGTTTTAGACATTTGGGGAAGCTCTCAAGAATTCATTATGTTTTTCATTTGTGGTCATTCTATCCAATTGAAAACTGCAGTTTATTTTGAATTATTTACGTATACAAACACATTAGAGGGAGCTATGTTATTCCTGAAATGGATGATACTGTGTTGTTACCCCACCAGTTTGAATAAAAGATCATAGTAAGGAGACGAGGACAAACAAAGGCTTGATGTCTGAAGAGGGATGATGATGTACTTGGCAAGTAATACAAATAATACTTGTTTAACTAAATTGCTTTCTGAAAGCCCAAAGGGATCTGTGTGGTATTCTGTGTTGGATTAACTACAGCTTGTTCCTTCAAACAATTCATTCTGAACCAATGAGAAAAGCAGAAGGAAGGAGAACACCATGTCCATTAAAAGAAAAAAAAAAAGCAGCTTGTGATCACATTTCTTTGTTAATAATAAAATATGCTGTTGTAAAAGTCATTAATTAAACTTATTCTGTTTTATTGACTTCTGCAGTTCTGCTGTCTAAGCAGAACTGTCTTGCCTTTTTCCTTTAGTTTCTTGGTCCTCTTCTAAACTGAGCCCTGACCTTGATGTTCTGCCCTCACCTTGCCCTAATTCCACTAAATACTACAGTTATTTAAGCTATTCCCATCAAAACTGTTCTATACAGCAAGAATAGGATGTAGAATGATGCAGCTCTTCTCCCACCTTGTCTATTCATTTTGGATATAGTCCTGCAGGATGCTGAATGCCCCTTCTTGCTTTTGCTCTGAACATCCCTCTGAAATAGGCTGTTTGACAGGTAACTGCATTGAACAATGACTGAATTATTAATGAGAATCAGTCCCAAAACTGATCTTCCACTTTCAGAAAAACCCAGGGTTTCATTTTGTAAAAAAATCTACATTAGGTTTTGAAACTGAAATTCTATTATATTGTCAGAAACAAAGGACTCTTACATCTAGTGCTTTTAAGTTAAAAAAAAAATCTGTTTCATTTCTTCTTTCACATTCAATACAGTCTGGTTTTCGTCTATATTCCAGATATGTCAGTCACAAAAGAAGATCTATTGGCTTTCTATGAATGCAGTGCATTGAGAGATTTATCACAATAATGGTGTGTTTTGCCAAATACTGTGATTCTACCTAGTCTGCATTTTTCAATGAGAAATTATTAAAAAAATTTTGACTGCTTCTATTAGTTAGAATGTTTTAGAGCTGTCATCTATATAGGTATTATTTCCTAAAAGGGCTATAGGCAGAGCAACTTACCTCGAGGTCCAAACATATAGTCCACAAAAGCATTTACTTCCCGGTCAAAAGCTTTCAGGTGTTCCTAAAAAATATAAAAAGGACATATGACAAAGGCATTATCTCATGGCTCACAGAAAATGAAATTTGAAGAAGAAACCAAGAAACTGGCAAAGAGCGTCTCATGCTCGAATATTTCCGGAGTACACAAAAACACGTCTACTGAAAAAAAAAAGACATCTTTAAAAATTAATTTAGGGCAGATTGTGGTCTAGATAACAGCAGAGACCTCATTACTGGAAACTGTGCCAAAACTAGAATTCTTTAGGAAGAGAAATTAAGATTTTACAAACGGAAAAGAACATGTACCACAGCATCTGTGACAAGTGTTATTTTCACTCTAGTAAAGATGTTTGGGTTTGGGGGTTTTTTTTGTCCTATTTCCTCAGCTGAAACCACTTTCAGTAGAGAGGAGCTGGTATTCCTTCCGTGAGCTTCACAAAGCCAGCCTGGTGACAGCACAGCAGCTGAACATACCAACTCTCCTCTTGAAGAACGCAACTTCTGGGGTGAGCCAGCTGAAACTTCTCTAAATCAGGTTCTGAGTCTCCTGGGGGAGAACCCAGACCTCCAGTAATGAAGTTCGGCCCATGCAGAGGAGGAAGAGGAGGGCTACATTACAGAGACATTGCGTTATTGAGGTCTAAGTCAACAAAGCTGCTAAGCTGGCACACTTTATGTCTGACTGTGACCGAGTTGGGAGGTAACACAGTCCTTGCCTCAGTGGGATGTGGTAGCCTCTCCAAACCCTTCTTCCTAGACTTTGGTTTTGGGCAGTGGCTTCCTGAATGCTGGTGCCTGCACAACTCTGTCACAAACCTGAGGTCAGCCAGGTTCCTCCCCTGCTCCTTCCAACCATGCCCTGCTGAGCTCCATGGATTAAAATCAGCACTGAGCAAATCCAGCCAAGCTGAGAAGAAAGACCCAGAGTGATGCTGAGCATCTCCACAGGGCAAGAGCTGCCAGGGCCTTCAAACGCCAGGTATCTCCACGCCAGTCCGGGCTGCGGTCACCATTAATGGATCGCCTCATGGAGAACCACAGTTGCACCATGGCCGGTCCAGTCCTGGCCCCTGCATTCTCCTGCTGAGTTGTGGTCTGGGCATACAGAAGCTCCTGACATTCCCAAGCCCCTTGTGTTTTCTTCCCCTCTTATGTTTCGGATCTCAGGATATTCAAAGCGGAGAGATTTTGTGTGAATATATGGCAGGATGAGGTTTTGCAGCATCCCAGATGGTAGAGGTCTTTCTCTGCAAAGATGCTGCTGTGTTCTTATCTCACCCCCCCCCCAAAAAAAAAAACCCCTACAAAACTAAAAGTGTATATATATATTTAACAAAAAAAAATTAAAGGACTTGCTCTGAAAAGGGAGAGAATGAAACTGATCATTAACTATACAAAAAGATCTCTCATACTTCACAGCACTGAGGAAACTAAACTAGCTCTAAAAGCTAGTCATAAATTCACAGACTATTTTCATATAAAAATAGAAAAGCCATATACCTGTCATTTTCAAGAACAAGACAACAGTTTGGTACAGCTTTTGCCCTCTGTTAAGTGGTCCTGAGCATCATTATTTTTGATCATGGATTGAGTGAGCTTTTACAATCTGAAAACAAACGCCTTATAAATTCACTTGGGAGATGTGATTATACTCCTGTATGTGTAACAAACAACTAGAGAATTAAGTGTATTGTACAAAGCACAAATCACAATAGCTGATGATATTACAACACATTTAAAAGCACAGAGTCTATAGGAAGTAAAAGCAAGAAAGAGAAGATTATAAAAGCTGCCCCTGGAGAAAGGCATTTTTGCAATTTTAGACAATCTCCTCAGCAGCCTAAGGATGGTTTTTGCTGTAAGAGGTGGCTCCATTTGCAGGTGCAGGCCCTGTGCAAAAGATCTGCTTCTATTTTCACATCCTTGAGCTACAGTTTTTCAGCTATTATTTCCTGATAAAGGTACTGGCACATGGGGAATGTCACATTGTGGTTTATCTCTCTTGTGCCCACCTGCTGCATTAATTTGAAACGGAGCTGCCCCTGCACTTGATCATTCTGTGGTTAAACTTAAGAGAATGCTTGGGAAAAAATATTTTAATGGATTCAAGTGTTTTGTAGGAATGAGTGTGCAAAGCTACTTGCTTTCATGCTTACGCTGTACAAAATCTTACATGTCAAGAACAAAATAATAAACCATGTATATTCCTTTTGTATTAAAATACTGTAGACAGGTCTACTCTGAGTTGTATTGAAACAGAAATTAGAAGCTGAGTTCTTTTAAAAGTTAGATGAAGGAATTAGAATTGTAGAATCACAAAAGCACAGAATCACAGAATGTCAGGGGTTGGAAGGGACCTCAAAAGATCATCTAGTCCAGCTCCCCTGCCACAGCAGGATCACCTACAGTAGGTCACAAAGGAATGTGTCCAGGTGGGTTCTGAATGTCTCCAGAGAAGGAGACTCCACAACCTCCCTGGGCAGCCTGTGCCAGGGCTCTGTCACCCTCACAGGGAAAAAGCTTTTTCTAATATTTTTGTGGAACCTCCTATGCTCCAGCTTGTACCCATTGCCCCTTGTCCTGTCATTGGACATCACTGGGAAGAGCCTGGATCTGTCCTCCTGACACTCACCCTTGACATATTTATAAACATTTATGAGGTCACCCCTCAGTCTCCTCTTCTCCAAGCTGAAGAGCCCCAGCTCCTTCAGCCTTTCCTCATAAGGCAGATGTTCCACTCCCTTCATCATCTCTGTGGCTCTGCGCTGGACTCTGTCCAGCAGTTCCCTGTCTCTCTTGAGCTGAGGGGCCCAGAACTGGACACAAGATTCCAGATGTGGCCTCACCAGGGCAGAGTAGAGGGGCAGGAGGACCTCTCTTGACCTACTAGTGACTCCCCTTCTAATACACCCCAGGACGCCATTGGACTTCTTTGCCACGAGGGCACATTGCTGGCTCATGGCCATCCTGCTGTCCACTGATCTCCCAGGTCCCTTTCCCCTACACTGCTCTCCAGCATGTCAGTCTGAAGCCTATACTGGCACATGGGGTTGTTCCTTCGCAGGTGCAAAACTCTACACTTGC